TTAAAAATGATGGAATCCAATCTGCTCCTTTCCCCCCCGCATCCCATTCTGAAACAAGGACAGGCTGGGAGAGAGGAGCAGCTGGTGCTAGGGGAAACAGGCTGTAGGCTCCCAGCTACCAGCTAGATTATCTCCCCCACCCTGGAACCAACACTGAACTTCTGTTTGTTCCAGGAGGTCCAGATCACTTCCTGCAAAGCCTTCTCAGTTACAGTGGGGAGCTACACTTCTGTCTGTGCCCTAAATTAAGAGATGACAAACAATACTGGGATTGGATGCTTGTGCCTATTAATCAGAATTCCCCTTCTCCTTCCTGGACTAAATTCTCTGACCTGTAACTTGCTTTTGAACAGAGCACAATCAGACTCCAAATGCCTGAAGCCACTTCTGTATCTTCTCCTGAAGGAAATGAGGATAGCACATTACATTAAAATATGAAAATTACTTCTTTGATGGTACTTTTGAAAGGCTATAATTTCCATCAGTGGCTCCTGCAACTCCCGCTTTGCAGAGCTTCGGGCATCAGAGCAAGTTCTCAGGAAAACTGTAGGTTAGTCAAAATACCAGTTTTTGGAATTTGCAAAGAATATGTATAATGCACTGTAAAAAACATTCAACTTAAACAGTAATCCTGTGCCTGAATGCTTTTTATGTTAAACCACTCAAAGGTCACCTTGGATCTGTGGATTATACCTTAAAACATTCTAGCTTGGACCAAAGTTTAGCCAGGAGCCTCCAAGAATTCTCTCTTCCCCCTTATAAATATAAAATAGAGCTAGCCAAAAAATTTTAAGTGGTTTCGCCTGATCTGCCTTGGCCAAAATTCTAATGTAATAAAGGGCTTTGTCTGTCTGTCTGTGTGTGTCTGTTTGTCCATAATACTTTTGGGCAACTGTGTATGTGCAGCCCAGAGGGCCAGCAGTGATTGGCTGCGTGGACTCCACCTCCTCAGGCAGGGAGGCAGGTAAGCCCCGCTGCTCCAGGCGGTGGAAAGGCAGGGGGAGGGAGAACTGTGGCGTTGGAAGCTGGAGGTGGTGGAAGCAGCAGAGGGACTGTTTACATGGCCAGCCCCAGAGGGTGAACAGGGGGTGGGTGCGTGGGGGTATGTAAACACTCCCTGAAATGCTCCGTCACTCGTGATGGGCAATTGGCTAATAAATCTATAAACTCACCCAGTGAGCACACGTAGCAAAAGCATCGTAACCTTTGTGCACCAAAAAAAAAATTACTAGCTAAGCAAACCTCCTTTTCCACTGTACTATACTTTCAGATCAGAAGAATACGCCATATTAATCAAATACATTTCAGTCCAGTATTTGGAAAAAGCCTTTGTCCTATTTTTTCACTGAGTCATCCTTCTATCCCCCTGTATATTAGGAGCAAACAACAAGTTTTTTTTCCTGTTGCTTGTTTATTTCTTTATCTATCACAGATGTTTCAGTAGATTTCCACATATACAGGTCTGGAAAATTTACTCACTATAGTCCATTGCTTCATAATATGGCAGAGAGGATTCCTGACAGCATCCCCAAATAAGTTCTCCTCTGTAGGCATACCAGACAGCACAACACAATCTAACTCACAAGCTACTCTGTTGGGCCAGGTGGGCGCAACCTGGTAAAGGCCAAACAGCCTTTTCCTTAAACTAAAATAAGCAGTAGAAACTTGTCTACTTCACTTCTTACCAAAAAGTTACCTAATGGTCTCCAGCAAACCTGGCTTGATCTTAGTTACAATAACACAGAAGTTGATTCTTGTATCTTCTAGCTGTTTTTCAGTTATCTGAACTCAAATTTATTCAGACTTCCCTTTTCACAGCTAAGCTGAACCTCTATAAAAGTACTGACCATTGAGCTGATATCTAGTATGGGGAGCTTCTGAGAAGGCCGCTTCTAAATACGCTGAGGGCGTTTATAGGGAATCTCCTTCACATTCTTAACCATATCAGTCATTGACGTGAATGGCTCAATAAAGAGACAGAACAGTGCTCCTAGTATATTTATATACTCCAGCTCCAACCTCTCTGAGAACACAGGTCATGAAATGTGCTCCAAGTTCATGGCTGTTTCAGATCAGCCTGACAGACAAGTTGCACAACAGATCTTTGGCAGACATGCTGACAAGGGGCTGAAAAAACAGGAGATGTAAGGAAGATGTTGTGATCTGCTTCTAAGAAGTAAACAGTCGAAGTACTTTTCCAGCAACTAACCTTGCCAGTAATACCCTCATTTAAAAGCCAAAGGAATACTCCACATTTACAGCTGGTCAGAAGCCTTAGGATAAAAATAGTAAAGGAAGCTTAAAGGATGTGTCTATAAGGAAATCACAATTTGGAGTAAAGCATAAGAAACTGTGCTACCTAGGTTAAAGGACATGGCCAAACTGGCGTAGCAGGGTCTGCCTTCTCCCCTTTTCCCCAGGACACCAGCTTCCAGAAGTTACAAAGTAAGACAGAATGGCAGCTTTGCTCAGCAGTTGTATGTATTTAGGATATTGTGTTCAAATTTTAAAAGGAAACTACATAGTTTACACTGAATTTCACTAGCTTCCAACCCAACTTCCACATCCACACTGACATCCGTACATCTAGAAATTAATCCAGGCACCAATAACAGCTTCCTGGAGGAACCAACTTTCTTGATGGCTCAATCTTGTCATCAGAGCATCAGTGGCACTTACAAATACTGTGGACACTGATGTAAAGTACCAGTCTGTGTGACCTCACCTGCTCAAGCATCAGAGGAATAATAAACTCAGGAACAGGTCAAGGGAAGAAAATGAATATGAAATATGACTAATGTAAAATTCCTGCCCTAACACATAGCTGTTCACTACAAAATGGTTGAAGAGAACTTACTGAAGAGCAGCTTTTAGTACCCTACCTCCTTGAAGTAAATAAAAGCATTTTTCCTTTAGAACTGAGTTGTTTTCAAAAAGTCTTTCTGCTTCAGTTGATTCAGTCAACAGCAGCATTTTACATGTAGAAAACACACTTCATGGCAAAGCACTTTATGGTCATTTGGGAATGATATACAACACATTCTTCTTACAATTGAAATGCAACAGCAGTTTAGGAATACACAATAACAGTAACACTGCCTAATGAAAGGCAGGCAGGGATACAGCCTGTGGTGGCAGACTAAGTGCTCAGTCAGAATATGGTCCAGCTACCAGGCTGTTGCTCTTGCTCTCACTCATGTACTATGGAATCCAGGATGCCACACATAGTCAGGATTTCAGTTTTGCAGCTCAACTGGAAAGTCAGCCCTTCTGAATGTACAGTACTCCCTAACACAGCACTGACTTAGATGAGAAAGTGCTATCTATTGAATCATCAACACTATTTTCTACAGGATCAGGGGCTTTCCAGGGATATGTCCCACCCAAGCAATGACAGCTACTTAGTTTGTGTAGTATGATGTAGTAGTTTGGCATCAGAGAAAAAATTAGAATGATCTCCCCCACCCCTCATTCTCCCTTGTTCATTCTCTCTCAATCCTAACAGACACCAGAGCCAGAATGTGACTTGCGCCAAGTTGTTTGCATACAGGTACTCCACTGGAGCTGCTTCTGACCCCCAAATTTTACAGCCTTGACATCATTTAACTGGTTATAAAAATATGTAGTTCTCTGTCAGTAAGTCTGTTGCAGGCTTACTTGATGACGGCCCCTTTCTGTCCATGTGCTCACTCCATGGGAATGCTTGTTCCAAATGCCAGACTCATCCCTAGCTAACTGGGAAGGTTGCTATCCTGGTCACGGGAGTCCCCAAGATGAGTTTTCACTACATGCTCTAGGGCTGAGCACTGTTATGCAGCTGTTACATTCTTACCCAGAAGTAGCTGCATTTCAGAGCTAGAAAAATTAATTCCTGCACCATACTGTTTCAATTATAAGGCAACATTTTTTTTCATGCAAACAAACCTTTAAAAGGAAAACCCTCAAACACACTCAACTTATACATGGAGATACCCTACCATCAGACCCCTAGCAATCTTGACTTTTGTACTTGCAGGATTCTTGCACATGAAATAAAAATATCAAGCAGATTTGTTTTCACTGTAGGTGCTTTAAGCATTTTTAGTGTATTTAATCTCTTTTGGGTATTTCCCTGGGTTATTTGATTGCTCTCAGGGATTTTCTTAGGGCATCTCTCTATAGTTAGCAACTTATATTCAGGAAAAGGCTGATTTTCCTAAATCTGAACCTGAAAACATGGGGTCATCTTATAATTTAAGTAATGTGGAATTTATTCTATGAGGCCTACAATAAGTTTGGGGGTTACTGTGGATGAAACAGACTATGTTACTATAAAAATCTATGGATTCCCAAACACAGGGAACAATATTGCTTATATTAATGCTAATGGGACTTTTGCACTATCATCTACACCTCCAGGTTCATGCTCAAAATCAGAGGCTGGCAACTCATGGTCCATGGGCTGAATCCAGCCCATGAAGAAGTTGGATACAGCACAAAGGATTAGGCAGAATGCAGTTGTACTGTGTCGTCCACCCCTTTGCAGCATCCCCCTCTACAGTCCTCCCTGCTGCTGTCTCATGCCAGTGGTTACTCTTGCTGCAGAGGAGCCAGGTATCTGCAGCAAGGGTAAATGCAGGCAGCTTGGGGGCTCTGAGACGGAAGGCAGAGATTTGTGGCCCCAAGCAGCAGGCAGGTTGCAAACTCCAGCCCATGGTGGCAAAAAGTTGCGGACCTCTACTGTAAATGACAAGAATGTGGGGGGGGGGGAAAGAGTACACTTACAGGTGGGGGTTTCTTCCTCATCTCAAAAACCCGTGTAGCACCAAAACTGAGTGAGGCAATGACAGGATTTCTCCCCAGTGACAGCTCATCATCACTGTGCCAGTCAACGCTGTCCTTCTCATTTCGGTACAGATTGCAAAGGAGAGAGTTGAAGGTGTGACTGGTGACCTCTTCAATGTGCTTCTTCAATGAGGTCAGCAGAGGGTGCCACTGCAATCAGTGAAAAAAAGTCAAAGGGAAAAGAAAATACAGTGCAGAGATGGCCAAAGTCTCCAGAACAGAGGATCAAAAAGGAGAAGCAAAGGTTAAAAAAACCAAACCACTCATGGTGGAGAAAAAACAAAGGCCACTATTCTTGTTACATGCGTGACAAAAACAGCATATATTATATGAAGCCAACTGACCCCAGGCTGCCCCAACCTTTTCCTGTACATACTTCCATGGAGCAGTAGAGATGTAGCTCTTCTCCACAGGATTGTGTTGACTGTGTCTGAAAGCCATTCTAGCCCTTTAGGGCAATCTGGCTTCTCATAACAATATAAGTGAAATGGAAAAACCAGAGAAACTTATATCTGCTCCAAGGCCTCTGAGTAAACACTATGGGTGATGAACAGAGATGGAAGGCTACTTAATGCCTACACTAAAAGACACTGAAGCAACTTGAACTGGTAGCTAAATAGCACACTGAATCTGAAGCTGTCTACAGCAGTAAAAGGCAAGAACTTGCATAATACTGCCACTGCATGGCTCTCCATTCCCAGGTCTATTAGTACAGTTTAAAGAATCCAATTCATCTTTCTATTGGGTTTTAAGTTCAATGTCAATTGTTTATGTTTTCAGCAATTCATGAAATAAGTAGCTCTCAGCCTCTGTAAACCGCAGCTATTGCATTGTTAACATTGTTCCATGCTCAGAGTCTACAGCAATTACGAAGATCCTATGTGCTTAACATTGTGCCATTCATCTGAGGATCGCACACTACTTTGAAATACTAATTATGCTTCTACCCCCAGTATAAGATAGATCTAAATCATGATTATCCTCAATTACACAAGTGGAAACTTTGAAGCAGAATTTAACAGACTGATTCAAGGTCTCACAATATATCATTGTTAGAGGACGGAATATAACTTAGAGAAAGACATGAGGAGCTGAAACTCCTAATTACAAGACCATTTTCTTCTCCATGTTTACCAGTTTTCTTCTCTCTCTCAACTTTGCTGGCTATGCAACACAACAGTCTTTTCCATCTTAGGTATTTCTAGTTCAGCCACCTCAATAATGAGATGAATAATTATGCTAATAATTATGTATAAAAATAGCTTGCAATCCATGGAGATTTACTGCATTTAAATGTCACATTTAACAAGTGGATTGCCTGAAGGGGGAAAAAAAACAATGGATGTCCAAGATTATAGTTTGTGAGGAATACAAAATGAGTTGGCAGAAGAGGGCTCAGCAAGAGTTGCTAACAGCATTTGCTGGCAAGTGGCTGACTATTATTGGATTCTTTCCATTCCCACTTTAACATTTCCCAGTGGCTACCTCCTCAGGTGGTAAACGTGTGATTCAATGGAAACTCTGCTGTCAGTAAACAGTAAGTAAAAGCCATTTTGTTATGAAAGGTTATTATGTTACCAAATATTTCACTGTTTACCAGGAAGGATTCTTCTAACTCTGTAAGTCATATAACCACTAGACGTGTATGACATCTGGGAAAATTTCAAGTTCTTAACACAACTTTTAGTATTTTTTTTTTTTTTTAAAGGAAATGAGATGCTACTTCTAAAACTCCAACACAGAGGTCCTTAGGTGTGGCAAACCTGGACTCTAAACAACACTTCCTAAACAACCTTGATCTTAGGGCTACTTTTTGTTACTCTGCCAGTTGGGTATTACTAAAATGATGTGGGCTTTACACCACCTGGTGTGGAGTAATGCTGGGAAAATAACCTGTGCAAAACAGGTACAGAAAAGGAGGGTGTCATATTGTCAGTCCTGAAGATGGATCGCTTCCATTTGTTCAGGGAACAGGAACAGCAAAAACAGTGGCAGGACGAATTTCCTCTCACACGTCCCCACCAATATACTTCATCTCGAGCAAGCAGGGACAAGTGTCTATCATCTTTGTCTACGTGATAATTTCAATCCGTCTCTCTTTGGTAAGAACAGGGGCTCGGTGAGTCCAAACTGTGCTCTGGACTGTAACTACCAACTTCTTTCATATACCATAGAGCAAAACTAAGCAGCAATAGCTTTATCAGGGACGGGTTCAAACCACTGCTGAATGGCACTATATGGTATTGTCACTCAGCCTCCACCCATACTTTCTAGAAAAATTAGTTTACTAACACGTATATGGGCTGCATGCTTTTCTGCTGTAAATGATGTATGCTTCACAAGGCTGTTAAAGTGACTGCAAAATCCTCACATCTCAGATTGCTTATTCAAATATTCTAGGCAAAAAACATTTCCTTCAAACTCTGCTATGCTCCAAGGCATCTTTCCTTGGCAGCAATTATGATATCTGAGACTGCAACACACTCTCTCTCACAGAACCCTGCTCTCACTAGTTACTCTTAATTTATGGTTAGGACATCGCAGTCTACTGCCATGGAAATTCCAAACAAAGCAACATCTAGAGACAGGCTAAGGAGACGACAAGTTGGAAGCCAGAGAGAGTGACTGAGCATGAACAAAAAGTCAACAAGTCAATCAGAAAGGCTTCTGACTCTCCCAAAACAGCAAGATGGCGTGGGAAATTATATAGTACAATCTGGTGTAATTGAGTAGGCAAGTCACATGCTAATCTCATTGCACTCGCAAACAGGATGAGGATATACCCAAATTCAGCTGTAGAAATGTTTATTTTAAATGTTTATGAAAAGGAGCTTATCCGTTTTCATTATCCATATTCCTGTATCTTTACAGTCATTAGTTCTGCCTCACAACAACCATATGATGCTATGAAGTCACATAACAACCATCATAAAAATGGATAAAAAGATGGATAAAACCAAGCGCACAGAGGTTAAAAGATCTGCCCAAAGTCATATGGTCTCTCCACAGCAGAACTAGGGGATAGACCTCAGGACTGATAACTCCCAGACCCTTCCTTCTAACCATTAGTTTATACTCCTCTGAATGCTTTTTTTACAGGGCTGAATATATTCAGGAATAATACTTCCTTCATGGAGTTTTAGATATGGCACTAGCCTCCTCTGGTGATCATAAATCAGATCACCAAGAAAATGTTTGTCAACAGGACTTTTTAAAAGCTTTTTTGCTGGTACTAAGTCACAAGTGAATTAATACGTACATGAGGATTTGGATTCATCGTTAATCTGGAGTAAGTGTAAGGAAGCTCCCCATACCAAGATGTAAGCCTGGGCTCCTCAAAAGACAGGTCTAGATAAAGAAAAATTAGAAGATTTCACAACTCTAATATCAAGCAGGCAGGGACGTGAAAGTACAGACTTGTGAAGAAGTTTCTTGCAGGTGACAGTCAAAAAAACAATAACTCATTCACAATTAAAAGGTGAAGCTTAACAAACCACTTCAAATCTACAAAGAGCAGCCACTGGAACAAGGATAAGCAGACCTACTCTTACATCTCTGAATGGGAGCCAAACCTTAGGCCCTGGCAGGAGTTATATTTATGGCATGATTAACATGTTAATCACACCATAAATTGTAACATGCTACACGTGTAAGCAATTTATGACCTGAACATATGATGTGAAACATCATTGTGGCTGGTTTGTACTATACTTTAATTTGAATGTGTACCATGAAGCTGCCAGAACAGAAGCCTAAAACAGGGAAGCTGCTCCCTGATCTACGGTTCTGCACACCCACATGCAGCCAAGCATGTTGAAAAGGTGCGCCATGCAGCCCAGCACTGTGGAACTGCTTCCCTAACGTCAGGCTTGCCAGCAAGCATTTTAAAAGTCCAGGCATCAAGGTCTGGGTCTCCAAGCTATGGCTCCTCTGCAGTCAGATGTGTAATGGAATCTGAGGAACTTTATACCAGATGCCAAAAACAGCATGCCCTGCCATGCCACACATGCAGAGCAGGCCATGCAATGTGTGGGATCCAAGGTAAAATTTCTCAGATCTCAATTAAATTAATGTATTCCTAGACCCTTAAAGATATATTAAGTTTCTCAGCCTAATATCTGACCCCAGCAGGCCAAGCTATTGTGACAGCCTCAATGGTGAGGCCCAACATGGACTCTCAGTTGTAGTTCTGGGTTGTTTTGCTTTCATACACTGCTGCTTAATATACCAGCATCAGTTTTAGGGAAGAGTGAGACAGTTTAAGGTATGCAGCCAGGCCAGATTAGTACATCTCTGGTAATGGTGTACTTTTGAAGCATGGTAAAAACACTTTCAGACTGAGGCAGAATTAGCCCAATGGCTATTTCCTGGATTTCACAGGCGTCACTTTCCAATCTGCATTCACTCTTGCAGCTCAATAAAGGCAAAATTTGAGCAGGTTTGCATGAAGCATTTGACAGCACTAAGAACAGGGTTCTCTGTGCCTCTTTTATACCAGCTAGATAATCTTAATAATCTGATGCCCAGCACTAAGGAACAGAGGCTATGAAATAACATGGGTGCCCCTTAGTGAACAAAACTGGAACAACAGGTGCTTCATCTGCTTACTGCAAACTCAGCTGTGCCTTGGATTAAATAAAATGTTGAGAATGACTTTTATATAAAAACCACAATCAAAACACTTGAGAAAATTATTAGTTTAGCAGAAGAAGTAACCTGGATAAGAAAAGACAAGGGAGAAGATAAATTTGCTGAGAATCTATGTAAGTGAGAGAGATGATGCAGTGGTTAGAGGGAAACTATCACAGGAGGGCAGGATATGGAAAGAATGAGGGTCTGGCAACATCAATCAAGAGACTGAAGGGAGAAAACAGAGATGAATGTTAGGAGGCAGAGTGAAATTTAGGAGGCAGGAGGAAGATAACTATAGATATAATGGTTTGTGTGTGGGGGGGCAGATTCAAATTCACAGAGGATTTTAAAAAATAAGGACAATTTTCCCTTTCTTTTAGGACTTGGAGCCCTGCTTGTAAGTAAGGCAAATAAGTTATGCTTCATCAGATATCTGAAATCGGGCAGCATTATTCTAGACACGAATCTGAAAAACTGAAATGGGGCAGGGAAGAAGTGGGAAGAATTAATTTCAATGAAAAGCAAACCCAAGGACTGTGGCACAGCAGGAGTGAAGACAGAGACCTTAAGAACCATGGCACACTTACCCTGTCTAATATGAGTTCTCTGCCCCCAAGGTATCTCTTGAAGGAGCTGCTCAAACATCCAGTCTGCTTCTTTGGAGTCAATAAATCCAGGAATCAAATTAATGCTAGTACAGAATAGTTACAGATTAAATAGAGAAAGAAAGCAACATACACTGTTCCTAGACTTAGGTTTGGTGAAATCCTCTAATATCAAGGGTTACTAGTGCAGTTGTCAGCAGATAATGTGGGACTGCATTTAAAGGCAGTTATACTTCTTGAAGAAATAGGCCAAGATTTCCAAAAGTGACCAGTGATTTTGGGTGCTTCTGCTTCTGGCTGGCGAATGGGACAGAAAGCACCCTTTACTTAGAGGCAGTTACAAAATTAGCAGCTTTTGGTTATAAAGTGTATTGAAGCAGTAATATTTTAGGCTTTGATCCAACAAAGCAATTAAACCAAAGGGCTCTTTGTGTACTTAAAACAAAGCATATACATAATACTTTTGATGAATCAGGGCCTATCCCTTGCTTGTGTTTCCAGTATTTTCAAGCAAGTTAAACATATTTAGCCTCTTTTCTTTTGAATACAGCAAAGTCTATGGATGAAGCATGGACATATTCTCCCACAGAAAAGCACCAGTTTGGAGAAAAGAGTCTGGCTTCCCTATTAGGTCACAAGAGGCACAGCAGGATAGGTTTACACTCAGGGCAGTGCTGGTGAAAGATAGTGTGGTCAGCTGCTGCCACAGTAGCGGCTATTTTTGTGCGCTCTGCCACAAAGGTGGCACCTAGGACTGTTGCCCCAGTTGTTCCCACTTAGTTACACGGTGGGGTAGCAAATCACTGGGTCACAACTTGGACTGCAGATGCACAAGGAGAAAAAGTTAAGCAGAATTAGACCTATAATGTTCAGACAGAAGAAGAAAGCACAGTTGTCTTTACTCTCTCCCAGAAAATAACTCATGCAATAAATGAGAATCAGTAACAGCACAGTCAGTTCAACAAAAGATGTCATCCTGAGAAATCCTTGCCTCTCACATAATTTCTGGACCTTCATGGTTACAACATCCCTCTCACATATTCAGTAAAGGCACAAATCATTACTGTCCTGTTGTTCCCAAATCTCTATCTAATGAGAAAAGGACAAATCTCAAGACATTCTTTGTAAATTACACAGAAACAGTTTTTAAAGAAAGGGGTGTTTTAGGAATAACCTTTATGAAGCATTCACTTAGGATAGAGGTGCTTAACCTCTGGCCCGCTGAGCTGTCATCTGGCCTGTAGGGCTGCCTACAGGTCCAGAAAAATGGCAGCAGGGGAGTGGTGGCAGTGTTAATTGATGCTCTCCTGCTGCCAAGTTTCTAGACCAGTGAGGAGCTGGGTGGGCCAGCTGGATGTGTGCACATGGGGTTACACATGTAGATCAACCCCACACAGGTGAAAGGGGCAGTTATCTAGCCATGGACTAACCCCATGCCACTCATCCAGCCTTCAGGGCTGGAAGTCTGGGCACCATGGACTTAGCTAAAAGGGAGAGGAAATGCCTGAAAAAGCTTTACTACTCTCTGGAACAGTCAAGATGGCCTCAGCTTAACTGGTTTTCTCCAGCTGAAGATAGCAGGTATCCTGGACCACAATGCTACCAGCTGGCCTTTTCTAGTCAGGAAATGCTCCTGGCCAGCATTTAGACTAAATTAGACTTTCTTACTGGCAGACTGATGTATTCTTTCATGGTTTACATTAGAAAATCAGGTCAGAAGGAAGTGCTACCTCAGTAAATCAGATGGGAAGATGCCATGCACCACTGGGAATTCTGTTCCAAGGAACAGCCCAATTGTGGTGATTCCAAGATCATGCAGGGATTAATGTAGTTAAAAAGTGGTTGCCCACCATGAGGGTCACTTTTCTACTGCAGGGGACAACATTAGAAGCAGTATGCGCAGTTCATCTGTATAGGTTCACTTTTACTTGCAGCAGCAATGGAATCTTAACTTCCTTCCAGCTGCCCAGAATTAACCACATCACTGCTGCTTGATGCATTAGCAGGCAAATTTCCCACCCCAAGCCAACTTACATAAAGTATGCATTAGAGGCAAAATATCTGCGCCAGAACCGAAATCCCAAATGACCATGGTTTTCAGAAAACTGACTGCCACTGCATTACTCTGCAGCAACCAAAGCAATGGAAAAAAATCTAACTCACTTACCGAGATGCTCCTGTTGGTGATGTGCTGATCTCATAGAGGCCCTGTTTGCTGAGGACATGGACAACAAATAACTATAAGGTGAATAAAATACAACTAATGATACAAATGTATGCCTAGGTATCACTTAGAATCATATGCAAGCTTAGGTTAGGGACAGTAGTCTAAGGACCATGCAATAACTACACTGACCAGGAAGAAGCAGAATGTCAGAGATGTCTCTGAAGTAGTCTGTTGCCTGACCTAATAAACTCAAACCTCAGCTGGTCTAATCACATTGCCTGTGAAATATTCCCTACTGGCTTAATGCTCCACACAAGGCTCATGGGCTCCAGAGACAGTAACAGGGGTCCCATATTTCTTCCAACTACATACAGGTTTCCCTCAATTTATGTGGTACATGCATTTCCGGAGAACAGTGCATAAATTGAATTCACGTAAAGTGAACCCACTTTACAATGCAACAAAGAGGGATAGGTTTCCATGGTGGCGAGGGAGGGAGGGAGGGAGGCTGGGACTAGGAAAGGGGCTGGGGGAGGGCTGCTGCTCCTGGGGCTACACAAGGAGCAAAGCAGAGGGAACAGAGCGGCACTCACCCCAGCCCCAGCTGCAGTGGCCCCAGGAGCGACTGATGCCAGCTGCCTGTAGCTGCTGGGTTGCACTGTGCCCTGGTGCAGGCAGCTGGTGTTGGCTGCTCCCAGGGCCACTCCAGCATGGGGTGGGGTGAGTGCAGACAAGCGAAGCCCCAGACGGAGGGTGGGGTGGGGTGGGATGGGACACGGACGACAGGTGTAGCACAGTGCACCATAACGGCTGTAGGCAGCTGGCGCTGGCCACTCCCAGGGCCGCTGCAGCCAGAGCTGGGTGAGTGGGGCCACAGCCCTTTCCCCTCCCCCCACAGACTTACCTGCTTGGGCGGGGGGCGGGCATCTATGCTGATTGCATAAGAGTGAATTTACCTTTTATATAATGAATTATACGTCTAAATATGCTCATCGCATAAGAGCAAATTTGCATATAAAGAACCCGCATAAATTAAGGGAAACCTGTTACTAGAGTCATATATAGCCTGATTTTGTTTGAAAAAGATCAGAAGGCTGACACCCTCATTTTAGCTAGCACAGCAAAATAAATACCATGTTAGAGAAAGTGCTCCATGCCGCATATCTGAAAACAATATTTAACTGCCACAGGTGGTACACAGGATAAAATGTGCTCCATCAGTTGCCAGGTGCATGGCTGAGAAATACTAGTATTTGCCTTTCAAAGATTTGCCTGAGCTTCTCTCCTGACTGCTGCCTTTGTTTCCTGCATTTGCTGTGAACCACATGCTGTCTCATCCACCTAGAACAGCTTCTTAGCCCAGCGACACCTACAAGCCCTCCTCCCTGAACCCACCTCCACTGCAAGACATTCCTTCCATTTTTAATTTCGTACCCACATTCTCCAGTAGTGATGTTTTATATTGTATCTGCTAATGCCTTTCCTACTAAGTAAAAGTGATATCCTAGAACACCTGCTATCCAACAATCAGAATATTTTAAAATAATTAATTAAGCTTCCTTTGAGGAAGATATCATCATCCTCATTTTACAAAGAAGAGAATGAAGCAAAGAGAACTGAGGACACTTGCCCAAAGCTAGAGAGTGAGTCAATAATAGAACATAGAATAGAATCTAACTCTCTTGACTCCCAGGTCTTTTATTTGTCAGCTAGCTCATGCTCTGGTTTTCAAATGTAAACTCTTCAGGACAGGGGCTTTTATCTGTGTTGCACAATTACTGCACAGAGAGGATGGTCTATAAGCCTGTCTATACCATAGTGAAAAAAGTAACATTGTAGGAAATGAGTGCTGAATGTTGCATTCAGAACATGTTTTAGAGGCCTGAGTAACAAAGTAACCCTGTAAGATCTGTGCAGCACTGCAGCCTGTGAGCCATTAACGCACTTTTTAAAATGCTGTATGTACAAATGTGCTCTGAATACAGCTGTATCTTCCTGGCTTTATGATGTTATTGTCCCTGCTCTGACATAGAAACTGAGCAGCTTTGATAAACAGACTGAAAATATCTCGTTTTACTGCAGCTTCCATAAGTACCTCTGGTGAAACACTACTTAGTAAATTCCCAAAGCAATGATTTTGCAGCAAACTTGGACAGAAAACTGTCTGCACATTAAGTGGAATTATTTTCCCAACCACACCTAGGAACATAAGGTTACCTGTGTACCCTGGGCTGTGATCTCCAATTCACCAATTCCTATTCTAGTATTGTCCTTAAAAGTGCAGAGAAAACACTCTCCAATCAGGAAATTGAAACACTTTGTAAGAAATATGGAACAACTGCCAATATTTTACAAATTGAATCAGAAACTTATTTCTGGGGTACTGAGCATTAAGGATATTCTTTCAGTATAATCAGACATGAAACAAATCTGAGGAGAACACGGTCAAATATACATAGGTCTAAGTATACCAGGAAACAAATCCGTCTCATATTTTAAGGTGATCAATGGTCTAAAGCAGATAAACACCCAACTTCATTATCAGTCAGCAATATTCACTAACAGTTACAGCAGTTCTTCAGCCCTCATTGTAGATGGTGTTTGACTTGCTATCCCTGATACTTGACTTATATGTAGGGTTGCTAATTTCTGACTGCCACTGCAGCTGCTCTAATATCAAGAAATCTCGGATTTCGGTTGGCAATTTCTGGTATAGTTTATACCAGGAATTATTCCTGATAAAATGTTAATCAAAGGAGAGTTGACAATAAACATATGGCAACATAAATTTATTAAATTTATGACTAGTCATCTCATCCTCATCACCAACACTAACAATCTGACCAATGCGTTAATCAGGCTGCTGGTCTAGTTCTCACTGAATGAAAGGCAGAGCATCTGGAGATACCACATCTGAATTGGGATTATAACCTTCCAGTAGAAGTCTCCAAATACACCCAGCCTAAGAGCAGGTATTGCAATGTTGTTTTGTGTCTGTGCTTCAGGCTTGTAACAACAAAAGAATAAAGAGGGTGGAATATAGTTCTGTGTGCAACTTTATCATCAATGTGCATCTCTAAAGGCACCAAGTATAACTCCTCTCACAACTTAACCTCACAAAACCCAGCTATTCTTTCTTCCTGGTTCATATGAACACAGTAAAACAGATGTAACACCCTTTAACTCTACCACACAGAATATCGGTGAGGCCCAAAGCTCAAGAAATTGGATGTCATCTTTTGTACCGAAAATTCTCCCCACGGTTCTAGCGATTACAAATGAAGAACATCCTTCAACTCTGTCTTACCACAGGCCATTGAAGGAGAATCCACCACAATGAAGACAGTGAAGCCAGTATTATACTCACTCTATCACTCGAGTTTCTGGAGCTTTGCGTTGCATCTGAAAGACAGCAAGAAGACCACCTCTAAATATAAAAAAAACTGACAGGTTAATTCTCAGCTAAGTGGTGATGATGTCGATACCTATGCTTTTAGAATGGCCTGGATCTTACTGCTGCTACCAGTCCCTCAGCACTGAAATACCACTCAGAGTGAATCTGTTTTATCTTCAGCATTGCACTAAAACAGGAAGAAGGGAATGACTGGGGCCTAGAGCAGAAATCATCACCCAGCTGTCCTGATAATCAGTGCAGTTCTCCCAGCAAGGCATGCTTCCTTTCCTCTCTCTCTTATGTAATTGTCACTTTTTGGAAAACACCCAGCACAGTATATCATTGTATATATGTAGTCCCACTGTTATGAGGAAAAACTCCCATGGAATCACAGTGTCTCTGAAGAATTCCTAGTCTGGAACTGATCCACCAAGCTCTAATACTAAGGAATGCAAGGATACATAAGGAACTCACTTCTTGCTTCTGTGAGCACCTTACTCTTTGGTCTGCCAAGGGATTAAAGAACAAAGGTTGCAACTTGGATCCTATGTTTCTCCCCCAAAAGTTCAGCAGCTGCTTTTCCTGCCAATGTAGTGTCCCTAACCAAGGGAGTGAAAAGCAGAATTCAAATCCTTTCTGAGACTTTTGCTTTTGGGTGTGGCGGGGGAGAACGAAAATCAAAGTGTTTAGAACCCATGAAGCCTTCAGTAAGCCACAGGTACAATACATCTGCAAAGTCTCAAAAACCTGGGATGAGCTATTTTATTTTTCGCCTACCACCTATAAGGGGAACTACTTCTTAAAGCACAATCTTTCTTTGGCACATCAATACATCACAAGACACTACTGAAAACTTATCTAAAATCTTACCTTTGCTGATTCTTTAAATATGTACGATTTTTCTGGCGGAAGCTGCTCTCTTCTCATCCAGGCTTGCCCAGTGCCCACAGTAACATTGTTCCTGGCCAGAGAAGCCTCTGGGGCTGAAGCAAAGAAAGAAACAGAAACAGGATCAAACCAACTACAAAGTCAAACAAAGTAGGTAAAATGGAAAACCAAGATTTATGTTAGGGATAACATCATTGTTCAGTTTTAGGGAGGAGTCAGATTTGTGTTTAATGTTTGTTAAAGGCATCTGGACCCTGGGACAGGCACTGTTTGTTTTGTTCTTAATTTATAAACTGAATAAAAGTGGTCTTAATACAAACCCTAAATGCAGACATGTTAGATCATAGAAGACAGTGCTTTATATTTTGCTATATTAAGTTGAAGGCAGTAGATTTACCCATTAAAGACTGCAGCCCACAGTGACGTAAAAAACTTAAGAGGTGTGACTTTAGAGAGTGCCATGCTTCTGTTCAAATGGCATTCATAAAGTATGTGTATTAAATACAGCAGTTCTATAGTAATAAGTCATGCGTGCAATGCTAAGGAAATGAAAGAAATCAAGGGCCTGTGCAATGTTAATTCAGACCCCTCCTGCACCCACATTATGATACAGACTTGCATACTATCTTTACCCAAAGAGACTCCTGCCTCTCAAAATGTACAATATAGTGCTCAGGGAACAGACTCATGTTCTTTATCTTCCTGGCTCACTGCATGGTCTGATGCCTTATTTACTAGGCACCATCCAAAGTTTATTCTGAATACAAAAGTGTTAACCTTCTTGTGGGCTTTCATACAACATTTGTTACCAAGCATCTAAGTCCTTCACAGACATTAATGAAGCCATCTTAGCAACACTACATGAGGTCAGATGCTATTATCCTGATTTTACAGATGGAGATCTAAAACAGAGGAAGTCCAAGAGTAATAAATATGCCCACTAAGTTTTTGATGCTTAGCTTGAGATATGTGGGCTGAATTTTCAAAGTAGTAAGTATTGTTATAATACTTTATACATTCAAACTACAACTTCTATTGACTTCACCTGTAGTTGGGTGTGCTCATTAACTTTGCAAATGAGACCCCAGCTTCCCTAAATTAATCACTCACATTACAAACAACACTATGGCAACTTGTGAAAGTTAAAAGGTTTGAGTAACACCACACAGAAACACTGTGGCAGGAATAGGATCCAGTTTTCCAGGGCACTTTTCAACAGTCTTAATCATAAAACCATCTTTCTTCTTCTAGTCTCCTCCCTTATTCACTACACATCTTCCAAATTCTGCAGTGTGTAAGGCAAGGGTCTTATGGACAAAAACTAATGTACAGTATATAACCCTGATGTAGATTTAATAGATTTCACAGACATTAGGGCTGGAAGCGACCTTGTGTAAGATCATCAAGGCCAGCTCCTTGCCCAAGGGGCAGGAAGTCAGCTAGGGTCAAAGGATCCCAGCAAGATAACCATCCAAATGTTTCCTGAAAGTGTCCAGAGTAGGTGCTTGCACCGCCTCTGGGGGGAGTCTGTTCCAGGCCTTGGGGGCTTGGACAGTAAAGAAGTTTTTCCTCATGTCCAGCATAAAGCAGTCTTGCAGGAGTTTGTGACCACTGGACCTTGTCATCCCCTGGGGTACTCTGGTGAACAGGTGTTCCCCCAGATCCTGATGCACACCCCTTAATGTACTTATAGGCTGCCACCATGTCACCCTTGAGCCTGTGCTTCTCCAGGCTGAAGAGTACCATAACTCGCAGCCTGTCTTCATAAGGGCTGTTCTCTTGCCCTCTGATAATGCGTGTGGCTCTCCTCTGGACTTTCAGCTTTTCCATGTCTTTCCTAAATTGTGGAGTCCAGAATTGGATGTAGTACTTCAGCTGCAGCCTCACCAAGGCCAAGTACAGCAGGAGGATGACACCCTGGGTCTTCCTTGAGATGCATAGTTAAAGGCATGTAGCTACAAAGCAGTTTCATCTCATACACTAAATGGAGGGGGGGAGGGGGCAGAGGATCCTTTGGAAAAACAGTGTGTGTTCAAGTAATTAAAGACTGTATCAAATGTATACACATACACAGTGAATTAAAGTTGCACAGATAATGTAAGTTCTGTCATTTACTAACAGCTGTATGCTTGACTTTGCAGTTGTAATATTTTTTTGCATAGTTTGTGCATATGTCATTTCTTAGGCTTAAATAAAAAGAACTGAACTGAAAGCACCAAGAAATTCAAGCATGTAGAAATGTAGGATTTCTTTTTGTGAAAATTTCATACATTATAAATGCTAAGGAGGGAAAATACCTATTTATGGGCTGTGCAAAATTTTGGCAGCCATTTCATTTCAGAGGTGTTTCAGGCTGTTCTGGTGCCTGAAACACCAAATCTGAATTGAAATGGAAAGCTCCGAAACAGCTCTGAAATGAACAAGAAGGCTCTGAAACATTTTGGAAATGTTTCTGAGAATTCTGGAGTTTCGGAACTGGGCTTGCAGGGAAATAAAAACTAAGAGGGAGGGGGAAAAAGCGGGAAGAAGGGTTGCTCTGATATTGACATCTGCAGTGACAGCTTGCTGAAACCTGGTGCACAGATCTGGGGACCCATGCTCCCCAGGAAGAGCTGGGGGAATGATCAGAGAGCTGGGGAATCAAACTCGGGGCTGGGGAATCCCTCCCATGCAACTTGGCTCCGCAGGGAGCAGAAATTTGCACCAGGGTCTCCTTGCTGCTGCTCCCCACCCGTGCAGCCCCACGTCGCCAGGGCAGTGCAGGGCGGGCAGTGGCAGTGAGGAGACCCCCAGTACAGATCTCTGCTCCCTGTGGAGCTGAGTCACATGGCAGGGACCAGCAGGCTTGCTCACCGCTCTGCGCTGCTTCCCTGCCCTGCAACCCAGCATGACAAGGATCAGAGATCTGTGCGGAGGTCTTCTTGTCTGCACGGAGAGCAGCAACCCTCCCCCTCCACCGGACAGCCACCCACAGTCCTGTCCTGCTCCTCGCTGAGGCCCTGCAGTCCCAGGCGTGAAGTCCTGCTTGGCTGGGTAGGGCTGTGCAAAGCTTCCCTTGCAGCCCGTTCGAAACAGATTCAGAGGTGCTTCAGGCCTCAAAAAAATGGGGTTGAAATGAAACAGGACAGTGATCTGAAACACTGAAACGAATCACCATCCTCCGAAACCGAATTGAAACACAGCTGTTTCGCACAGCCCTACTTATTTACATTAAAGGGCAGTGCTGACAAAAACAAATGGTTATGTACTGGCCACTAATACCTTTTGTCCAGATATTGAAAGGCTTCTTATCATTCAAGTGAGGTTCTGGAACAGCCTTACAAATGCACTCAACTAGTTTTAAGACAGAGCTGGAAGAGTTTCTGATTGTAATTATGTGATGTGGTTGCCTGAAATAGGAAACTAGACTCAGTGAGCTAGGAGGTCCCTTTCAGACTCATGTGCAGATACTGATCCTTTCCATCCATACTGGTTATCAAGCACGGTTAAAATGTAAAAATCTGACATTCTCAGCAGTCTACTATGGTTTAAGCCAAAGGAGTAGTTAGCTGTTATCCTTGATGTGATCTGCCTAGCTGGGAAACAACTTACACTGACAGCAGCTTACACAAACATAGAACAGAAATACTGAGAATCAGGCATCCTCTGTTCCACTGCTGGCCCTCTGCTCCTTTCTAGCATGAGCTGTCAGGTACATGGGCTAGCAGGTACAGACAGCAGTCCAATACAAATTTGGCTCATCCACTATGAAAGATAAGACGATTCCAGAAGATTCAACTGTACCATTTTTGGAGACCCGAGTTCTACCCACCAGCTCCCGCACACTCTGTTTCAGTTATTCCATCATGAATCTGAGGAACTCTGTTCGGCTGCTTCCCAGTACAGGGTTCTGAGGACTGTCTTGATAATAAAGGTTGGCACAAAACATTATCAGCAGTAGTCAGTAAAAGGCTCGCCAGGTTTCCTTCTCCTGGGCCAAAGGATACTTTTGCTGTTGCTGCAGAATTATCCTTGCTATTATGGAGCTCTATACCTTTGAATAAAGAAGATGAATGGAGCCTAGAAGCATACTGAAATGAGCAGAGATTTTAGGAGCAAGCTTCTCACATATGCAAACAGACATCTTCCCCAGGCTTCTAGCTCTGCAAATCTCCTTGACTTTTTTAAGGGGGCAGCAAAAAGGACACTTCTCTAACTATACCACTGTCATGCATCAAATTCCTACATTTTTTCCCAATGTACAGAGAAGCAAGCTCCTCAAACAAACACCTGATAGGATAGTTTAACATTAGTAAAATTATCCATTTTCCCTATGTTCTTCCTCAGAAGAGACTGAACTATATTTATGGAAAAGATTTTTTTAAAGCTGCCTGAAGTTCAAACACACTTTCACTCTGAAAGATTAAAGGTTGGCAAAGCTATAAGCAAAGGAAAAAACAAAACAAAAAATAAAACACCCAGAACACCCAAAGCATTGGGCTACCTTAACTATAGGTGTTGCTACCTGCTTTACCTCTAATGCATTTTAGTTATATAAGCATAATTATTTTTTTTAAAGGCAGCTCAATTCAGCTTAACCGCAGTATCCAGTTCTCAGGGAAATCATAACTTTGCTCAGTATTCCAGTGGAGATAAGAGAATCACATGATGCATTACCACACTAAATTAGCCCTTGACTTGGGATAAGAATTTAGCACTCTTTTACAGCACTCTTCTACCGCTCAACAAACTTGGTATACACTTGCTCCACAGAACAACTATCTTGCCCTAAATCTTTTGCCTAAATTATTCTTTAATAATAATCCCATGAAAGGGCCAGGACTGCTGCATAACAAATGTACCAAGGTAAAAATCAAACACTGCTACCACTACGAAGCTTGAACCAAACCTGTTACGCTTATCTCAGTCACCTCAGATGCCCATATGTAAATTGGGTAACCATCAGTGACATACACTGTATACACACAGCGCCTTCTTGCCAAGTATTTCACAATGGTTTGCATCCACTGACAGCCTAAGACACAGGTCTCAGTATTCATTTTAACATGTGAAGAAATACAATCCAGAGAAGGAATAGCTACAGGGAGAATTAATTGCAGAACCAGAAAAAGAAACCAGCTGTTTTGATTTATAGTCCCTGCTTCAGCCAAGAGGTAACACCCCTTCTCATACATGTACAAAGAGAACAGCACTATAAGACGAGGAACACATTAAATCAGCCTAAAACACAGGAGAAGAGTTCAACATAGCCAGAAGCAAAATAAAGAGTGCTCAGATCTTACTTGCATGGGAGGCTGCTCTGCTCTTCACAGGACCTGCCCAGCCGCCCTGTACTCTGGCTCTCCGTCTTTTATCATCCATGATTTTCACTCTTCAGCCTCTTGGACTAGTCCAAGTCTTACCTGCTATGTTAAATACAAGAAACAAGTTGGTTGGGCAATTTCAATCCAAGTGGTAAAGTGGCAGTGGTACATGGGAACACTTGCATGCAATGGCTGTGCAGTGCACTTGAAGGGTGGATCAGTAGCATCCCCTCCATCCCTAAGGGAACAGGTGGGTGCCATACCAGGATTCAGGGCTCAACTGAACCACATCTGTTCCTCCAAAGCCTTGTTCCAGTTCCACCCTGCTCCTCTTCACTGGATCCTTCCCTTATGGCCCTCCCTAGGGCCTGCTTTCTGACCCGGCCACCTCTGCAGGGACAAAACCAGCAGGCCCCACCCTGCAAGAGGAAGGAAAGGTCTGACAAATGACATGGGTTGTGGCTCCCTGAAAAGCTCATGCCTAATTTGGTGAGTCTGCGAACAGACCACGAGGCTAGGAACTGACGTTGCGTGTATCTCAGGACAAGCTGGGCCCACATTTGTCTTGTAACAGAAACATCCCAGGATTGGTGTGTGCACACACCTCCCTTTCCATTGGGCTTGAGTGCACAGCACACGCCAACTGCAGATGCTTCCTCAGCCCAATGAAGGGTATTTATTCCCAAAAGCTTGCTATGAATTGGTCCAACTATTTGAGTTGGTTTAATAAAAGATATCAGATTCGCCCAAAGACCCTTGCCTGACTATGTCCTTAGACCAACATGGCTACATCCTCCACCCCCCGCTGTTTTTCCAGCAGGACTCAACAAGGCAACCCCAGGACATCCACTCAGATGCCTTTTGAGATGTCCCAGGATAAACAGGCTAAAGAGAGATGCCCAGCTTGATTCAGATGTGAAGGCTTTGCCTCGCAGCAAGCCTCAGGCCTGGAAGACCGAGGCGCCCATCCTCCCACGTGAAGGGCCTGCGAAGTAGCCCGGCCACCTGCCCTTCAAGCCTCCTGCGTTCACGGCCTGTCCCGCACTTGCTCGGTGCAAGCGAGATCTCAGACTAAGCAGCCCCGGATTAACCCGCTCGTCTGCTGCTGGGGCCGGCAGCGAGAGGAGGCTCCCCAATCCCAATCGATCCGCCGCGGGACACTGCTGTCTCCCGGGACGCCTGTTCCCAGCCCGGGCCCGCCCAGCCCCCGAGAGTGCCCGTTCAGGGAGCAGGGGAGGCTCCACAGGACCCCGCGCCGGCTGCCCCACCTCTGCCCCCCTGGCCGCCGCCGCTGCCCCGCTCCGCCGAGTCCGCCCCGCATCCGCCACTTCCTGTCCCGGCTGCACCCCGCCCCCGCGAACTGCGGCCCCGCGCAAAGGTTCCGGGTGGCTGGAGGAGGAGGGACCGGCTCGGCTCTGCCACCGCGACGGGCAGCGGTCTCGGCCGGGGCAGCGACACACGCACGGGTGTCCCCCCGCCCACACACGTACAACAGATACCCCCTCCCCCACGCACATCCAGCACCCCC